GGGGGGGGGGGGGGGGGGGGGGGGGGGGGGGGGGGGGGGGGATGGAAAGCATGTTAAAGAGTACTGCAAGATGCTTATTCACAACAACGCACTGGAAGCGCAGGAACTTCAGCTCCCAAACGCAACCTTTTCTTCCCCTCCCTCCACTCTCTCTAGTCCCTCTCCACAGCGCCCGCCAAAGCCAGAGCTCAGCCCACTAGAAGGCCACCGTGCACTAGAGAGTGCTCACTAAGCAGTAGCTGATCATGATGATGGGGCGGAACGCTTCCCAGCAAATCTACTCGGAAAGACCCACAAGCTCTTAGCAGCCAGCTAGTACTGTCCAGACCTGCCTCCCCACGCCAGCCGGGGCAGGAGCGTGTGGGTAGGAAACCTGAGGCCCCAACGTTTGGGCAGGCACAACGTCCCCCCCTCCCCCCAGTCTCCCCTCGCTCTCTCCCTTGTCACTCTTTTTCTGGCATATCACTGGGGAAAACCCGAGAGGCCGGAGATGTCAGGCCCAAGAGGAGTAAGGAGAAGGGACAAGGGCGAACGGGGGGCAGTTTTTTTGGGGAAAAGTCTGTCCAGAGCAGAGGTGCGGTAGCGCCGCATCCAGCGGGAAAGAAGCCCCAAGGTGGGTCTGTGGGGAGAGAAGGGGAGGGGGAGTGGCTCGGGGAGGCCTGACGGCTGAGGCCGCGGGGAGCCCGGGAGAGAGGGGTGGAGGAAGGGAGGCGGGCGTGGGGGAGACGCAGTTGGGGGGCGGGTGCGCGGGTCGGGAGGCGAGGGGGGCAACTCGGTTCCCCTCCCCCAGCTCGGGCCCGGGCCTCCCGCTGACTCAGCCCCACGGCGTCGGTCGCCTCGGCCTGGACTCACAGTGCGCGAGATGGCTCCGGCGGAGGCGGCGGGGGAGGGGACAGGCGGCGGGGGCGCTGCGGCTGAGGCTGCGGCTCCGGCCGGCGGCTCTGGGGCGGAGGGTCCTAACAGAGGCCGCCGCGGTCTCCGGCTTCAACGCACAGAGACTGCGGGGGAAGAGAGCACTGCGCAGGCGCGATGCGGCCACCGCTGTCAGTCCGAGCGGGGCGGGGCCAGGGCACCAGCCGTCTCCAAGGCAACTGGTTGGAGAGGGAAGGACAGCCCCTACTTCCACCTTGTGTTAGCAACTGCGATGGGAGGTGGGGACGACGAGAACAGTCCCTCTAAGTCGCCATAGCAACAGGGAGAGGACACCGCCTCATAAATTTACGGCGGTATCGAGGGAACGCTCTTACCTTGTCTCCATGGCAACTGGAAACAGCCCCTTCCTCTTTCCTTAGCAACGGGGTAACAATTCCTCCACCCTAACTGATCACAGAAAGAACAACCATTTACACCTGATTCCATAGTAGCCAGATGACGGATTCTTTTTTTTTTTTTTAACATCTTTATTGCTTTACAATGGTGTGTTAGTTTCTGCTTTATAACAAAGTGAACCAACTATACATATACATATATCCCCATATCTCCTCCCTCTAGATGACGGATTCTTATCTGTCTCACGGCTACTGCAAAGGAGAAAGGGGAGAATATTTCTTCTTTTTAAGCAACAGGAGAGAGGTAAGGCTGGGCTTTCTCTCCTCTCTTGGTTTATGGCTTTCAATCGCAGCCTGTTACTCTAATCCCCAAATTCAATTTTCCTCTGCCTGTGTTAAGCATTCCTTTTTGTCTCCTGCCCAAAAGTCTATACCTTTACCTCTAAATGGAGCTAACAAAGTCTTCTATACACATGTCACAAATTTTTATCAACCTTATTGTCTCTGTCCCAATGCGTTTGTAAACGATACCTGTTTCTTCATCTTGCCCACTAGCTAGTTTAAATTCTACCCCCTCATAACTAGCTCCCTCCTTGATATGTTCATTGGTGTTCCCAGATTCCCTGTTCTAGGTCAGCTTTTATGGATCTCCCCAGTTCTTCTAGATCCCTCTTCTTCCTGTCCACACCTACTGTCCTTGTCCTCCAGTACTCCACCCAGGGTTCCACTATGCTCACCACTTCATGATTTCATTAGCTTGGTTCTCTTTGTGCAAACTACTTCTGGGTCTCCTTCCCTCAGCCCTGACTCCCGTGGATATCTTAAGGTCACCTCTGTACCCATCTTGTACATACCTCCTTTTGTATACCTCCATACACATCTTACAGTATTGTCCTTGGTTGGCATGTGTCTCTTCAATCAGACTACATGCCCCTTGTAGGCAGGAATTCTGTCTTATTCATCTGCTCCCTCAGCATCTAGCACCCAATATGAAACATAGTAGAGTTCCAATAAGTGCTTATGGAACTGGATCAAGTGAAGACAAAGATTTTCTTCAAAGAGTCTTCAAAGAAGTATCTTCTTTGACTCCAAAGAAATAAGTGAAAGGAGTCAAAGGTTAAAAAATTTTTTTGTTCATCCTCACTTTCTCTGACCTAACTGCCTCAGAGTCTCCACTAATATTTTCCATATGATCTTTGCACATATTTAATCATTAAGTACCACAGACACTATTACACCTCTCTCACTCACTTAGCTCTCCATCTTAATGCCAAAACTCTAGTCCTCTATTAATTTAGACTCTGGCATTCTCTGTTTCCTGACTCCTCACCTGTAGCTAGTCTCCCTTCTACACTGTCCCTAATGTTTCCACTAAATAAATTTTCTCACAAGTTACTGACCTCTTCAATGATCCCTGTCACCCTCTATAATCAGTACAAGCCCTTCATGCCTTACTATTATACCATCTCCTAACCCAGCTCAGATCCAGCACTCTTGGTGAACATCACTGGATTCTGCTGGGCTTGTTGACATGCTGCATTCTCTTTGAATGACTCAGAAGTAAGAATTCGTAGCTAGCATTCTTTTCTGAGTCTCCCTGTATAGCTCCCAGAGATTCCACCCCAGGACTATGGGTGTCAAAGCACTCTGACTGAGCCCATTTTCTCAGGAGAGAAGGAGAAGGCAGCTGACTACAGATAGAGTAAGAAAAGAGAGGGACACAGCATATGCTGAGTCAGGACTGTCTGCACCCATCCAAGGCAGTTCTCAGAAAGGAAAGGGTTTCCTGTAGAGGATAATTCCCAGAGCAAATCAAGGGGTTAGGACAGTAAAAATGCAGGCTACACTTTTCCTAGCTACAGAGTTGGAGAACTGAAGCTGTTCCTAACTGTATCTATAGGGTGTCTGGGTGTCACAAGGACAAGGGAAAATTTTCAGACTCAGTTTATTTTGCTTCTCCATTCTGAAGTTCCAGCACATCTCCATGGTTGTAGGTGTGGACTTGGATGGTAGCTGGCATCAGAGGTAGCTGGCTGGCCTGAGTAATCCCGAGAAGAGACTATGGTCCTTGTAGCCCCACCCATTTGTCACACATGGGATAAAGGACCATTCTACAAAGAGTTTCTGTACACCCTTCATCCAGATTCTCCACATGTTAACATTTTACCGTGTGTCAGTTATCTATTGCTGCAAAACAAATCACTTCAATTTAGTGGTTTAAAACAATAACCATTTCATTATCTCTGTTTCTGTGGGATGGGAATTCAGGAAGAGCTCCGCTGGGTGGTTCTGACTCAGGGTTTCTCAAGTGGTTACAGTCAGATGGTGGCTGGAGCTTAAAAACAGCAGGGGGCTAACTAGACAACCCTCTCTCTTCATATTATCTCAGAGCTAGCTTTCTCACTACATGGTGGCTTTGGGACAGTTGGAATACTTATATGGTAGTTGAAGGTTTCAAGGGTGAATATAATAGTAAGAGAAAAGCTGCATCCTTTTTTTTTAAGATTTTTTTTGATGTGGACCATTTTTTGATGTGGACCATTTTTTGATGTGGACCATTTTTAAACTCTCTATTGAATTTGTTACAATATTGCTTCTGTTTTCTGTTTTGGTTTTTTGGCGGCGAGACACGTGGGATCTTAACTCCCCGACCAGGGATTGAAACCCACACCCCTTGCACTTGAAGGTGAAGTCTTAACCACTGGACCACCAGGGAAGTCCCTGCATCTCTTTTTATAACCTTGCTTCAGACATCACTTCTACCATATCCTATTGGTTGAACAACATCACAAAGTCTACCTAATATCAAAGGAAGGGAACATAGGCCACACCTCTCAAAGGGAGCAATGTCCGAGTCACGTGATAAGAGCATGGATGAGAGATATTGTTGAATCATCTCTGGAAAATGCTATCTGCTACACCCTACCACCTAATGACAAGAACTCACATGCCACTCAATGCAAAATACACTCATCCCCTCCCTCAAGACCCCCAAGTCTCAATCTATGACAGCACAAACTTGAAGTCCAGGATCTCAACATCTAACTCAGGGCCCAGTATGGATATGGCTTTTCAGGCCCTGTTCCTTGGATATAACTCCTTGAGTACCAGTCCTCTTGATCTGAAGACCTGTGAAGTAAAGAGACACATCATCTGCCTTATACGTACCCAGCATACACTAGAGGCACAGGCATAGGATAATTTCTATGGACATTATCATTTCAAAGAGGAGAAAAAAAAGGCACACACAGCAGTTACTAGTTCATAGCGTTTCTGAAATCCAGTGGGCACACATTGCCAGTTCCTGGTTTAGGGTTCATTTATTTATTTATTTATATCAGTGTTGACAGGGATTTTTCCCCCAGTGGGTTATAATCCTTTCTTCTTATTATTTGTTTAGATGTTCAATGGCCACAGATTTGGCCAGTGGAAGAAACTTCAAGTTGGCCCCTGTGTCCTTTGGATTTGTCCCCATCATCCTTTGAACCTTCCCTTGCTTTCTGGTAAAGATGTTCCCGGCCCATCTTGTACTTTCCCTACCTCAGCCCTGGAATTGGCCATTCACCAGGAAGTGATGAGTCCTCTTGACTTTTTGACATTCCTTTTTCCATTCTCCCTTGCTTTCTAAATCTGCCCTTAACCATCCCGGGGATTCCCATCTCATTTCTCTCTCCTCCCTCTATACATACTTCCTGAGTGGCCTCAGGTATTCCCATGACTTCTGAATCTGTATCTCCATCCCAATCAGCTCTTCCAACTGTCAGACCTGTATATGTAATTGCCCTCTAGATAGCTCCAACCCTATGTCCCACAGGCACCTCAAACTCAATAGGCTTAAATTAAACTTATTTACCCTTCCCCCCTCACAAACCTAACTTTCCTATATTCCCTATTATTGTTAATGACATCACTATCCAAGAAAAACTTGAGGGTGATCCTAACCCACATCTTCTCCCTAACTCCTTATACCAGAACAGTTTTCCAACACTATCAATTCCATTTTTAAATAGCTCTCAGGTCTGTTCTCCTTCTTTATCTCCATCACCTTTACCATCTCTTGCCTGGGTTATTGCAGAGCCCCCCACCTGGTCTCTCTTCCTCTAGTCTCTCCCACTTCTGACCCATCCTCAACACCAGCTAGGAGGCTCTTTCTAGAAGATAAATCTTATCAACATAACTCCTCTGCCTAAGTCCCTATGGCTGCCCTTCTCAAACTGGATGAAACAACTTCTGGGCATGGGGGAGTCATGTAAGGAAACAGAGTGAGGAGCTATAAAATAGTTATATCTTCCTCAAGCTTCAATTTTATTTAGAGATTCAGGAAAATATTTAAAAATATTTTTTAAAAACCCAGACATATGATGAAGTAGAATGCAAGAATCACATGATTTTAAAGACAAGACGTTTAGAGAGTTTGAACTCAAGATACCTCCAGGCCTGAACTCTCCACACTGCCTTTTGGGGTACTTTAGTGGAATGTTTGAGACACACTGGCTTGAAGGATAAAAGTTCAGACTCTTTCACATGGTAGAGAAGCTCTGCTCTAATCTGGCCCCTACTAACCATTTCCACTTCACCTTCCACTCCTCTTATGCCCCTAGCCTCATTACCTCTCACCATATATGTCAGCCACAAAGAGGAAGCACTTGTGGTTGGCCAAGAAACCTGTTCTGTTTCACAGCTGAGCCACCGTTACGGGGTTCACCCTGCTTGGAGTCCCCCTTTCCCCTCATTCTGCAAACTCCCACTCATTCTCCAAGACCAGCTTTAGTGTCATTTCCTCTGTGACACTGTCAGGGACCTCCTCCAGACAGTTGACACGTTCTCTTTGGTACCAGGTACGTTCTTGTCACGGCCTCACATCGCCTTGTGTTACAATACCACGCTTATTCACATCTCTCCCCACCCGAGGTCCTTACTCTCAGAGACCATATCTTATTTACCTTTGTACGCTTAGCACCTCACATGGGGTTGAAAATAGCCAAGCAAGTTAAAAACAACTTGACCTTTTGT